CTAAAGTGAGTAGATAAAAAATAAAAGAATCTTAAATAAAGTCATCTAAATGACTTATATTTACTCTTTTTATGAATTTTTAATAATTCTATGGCAAACATGCAACTTCAGATATATTATTACTGAAATAAAGGTTTATATAAATAGTTAAGCTATAAAATATTTAATTCATATATCAATTATTTAAGGAGCTTATAGATTTATCTCGGTATCGATCGAGCCATTTAATGAAATACTTATAAATTTTTTATGCTTATAAGAAATTACATTCAAACATTTTTTAATTTGATTTATAAACTCGCCTTTCCAAAGACCGATAGCAAGATTTTCAATTAATTAATCAGCACATATTAATTTTATGATCAATTAATTTGTTGAATAATACAAACATAAAACTAAACTAACTTGAATAAAACTAAAATTTAACAAAGACTATTTGCAATGGATTTAGACTACCTAAATCATTTAGTCTGTTCAACAATACTTAGATTTCTAAGTATTTCTAAGATTGTTGAACGTCTATTCAATATACTTTCAAATCAATATAATAGATAATAATCTGAAAGAATTTGTAATTTTGAAGCGCATCATCGATTACACAAAAGATTTATACGTATTTAAGATTAATATTTATAAAATTGTTATAACTTAACAGCAATAGTGAATGTAAGAGGCGAAAATAAGAAAAATTAGTTAATCAAATAGATGTAATAGACTAGTTTCAGTAAAATAGCGCAGTGTCCGGAAATACACAAATTTATTTAAAAATTACAACTTAAATAAATATTTGATAAAATTTATAAATACAGAAATATATATACAATCGAATCATAAGAATAAACCAAAAAATATATACACAGGTATGAAATAAAATATCATTAATTTTAAGTTTATTTAAAATTTAATGTGGAATATAAAGTATTTTACAGATTTCAGTGATTTTTAAAATAGATGAGCCAAGTATAATATTCTGTAATATTGATTACATAAAATATTGCACTTTTCATGAATATAAATCGGATATATAATTTAATATTTGTACCATTGAATTTTATATAAAACAATACAACTATGAAGAATTTAGTATTTTAAATAATGAATTTTTAAAGAAACTGTGGATTAACAAAGTTCTTATTAATTTAAGATAAGTCTAAGAAGCCAAATTTTTATCAAATATTTATAAATATATTTAATATACATATTGTATATTACGAATAAATCCTGACGGGTTGATTATTATTCAAAATATTTAAAAAAATCAATTCGATGCAATTATTTATGTATGATGAAAATTTTTTGAAAATATATAATTTGATTAAAAATTATAATTGATGTTAATTTTACATTTGATAATTTTACTTTGATTTTAATAAATAAAATGAATTTAAATTTTATTTGTATCATCTGACTTAATAGATTTCATTGGAAAATATGATCATCGATCTTTGAAAAAAAAATTAAAATATACCTTTATAAATTACTTTTCAAGTATCAGATTACTGAACTACTTTATATATATATATATATATATATATATATATATATATATATATAGATATATATACAATAAACGCGTAAAAAGCATAAAAAACAATTATAATTATGATTTTATTTATTGTAATTATGATATTGTACCGATGAAACAGAATATTAATATTCGTTACGTAAAATATTCGTTACATTGAAAATATACATATTAATGTAATAATAGTCAATTATTGTCAAAATATTTTGTCAAATTATTTTTTTGTAGTAAAAGAGTTTTAAAAAATTATTATTCATTCGAATAAAATCGACTATTTTCTTGAATATTATTGAACATTATCATATCATATAAACACTTTCCTTATTTCTAATAATTGGCGTAATATTATGATGATGAAATATTATGTTATGAATTCTTTGTTTGTCTACTTTATTTTCTTACAACATGTTGTTTATAATTTTCGTTGACAATTAATTATAATAGAATTGTATAAGCTTACAGTCATATCATAATATTTAGCCTTACTTTTATACAAATTTTATTCGTAAAATTTGTAAAATTATATGAAGGTGTTTACGAAAATTTTACTTAAATAATAAATATATAAAGATATATTTAGAATATTATTGCAATCTTATTATAGAGCTTTTATGAAATTCAATTTAGAATTACGCACTTACGAAATCTGTTATATCTCTTACATAAAAGGCAATTATTAGTAATATTTGAACAGATGGAGTCGATTGTATGAAAATAATGTACATTTTTGAAGAATTTTTACTGAAATCTTTTTAATGTTATCTACTGTACATAGGCTGAAACAGTACCGACATATTATTTGATTAGTGTTTATTCGAAGCAATTTATCACTCTATATTTTCTTAACGAATTAAGAGTAAATAAGTAATATCAAATAAGGTATTTTTTAAGATAGTTTATATTATAAAAGAAAAAAAATTTATAATCAAAATAGTTGAAGTTGTAGATTGATCCTCATCATGTTCAGTTACAGTCTATTCCTTTGTATCCTTATTGGATTTGCCTTTATGGCTTGTATGGCGTATGCCGAAGTACGTATTTTTATTCGTAATATTTGTACAAGTCATAATTGAAATTTGTTCTAACGATTAATCGAATATTATTAGTAACTATAAATTACAGAAATTTGATACTAAAATCAATAGAGTATTGTATATTTACAATAATAGAATACGATACTTTTCAAATCAATTTTTAATATTTTTCTCTTCTAAAATATAAAATAAAATATAAAATATAAAATAAAATATAAATTAACGTAACTTCAATAAACTGAAAGCTATAATAAACAAAAAAAAAAAACAACAACTAGTTATACATCGATTATACATTTATTAAAAAAAATGTATAACTTTATTTCATTTATTTAATGTTTTGATATATTCGGATATTTTATTATTTATTTATACCAAAATTACATTCAGAGTATTTTAAAAATCTTTTTAGCAATAAAATAATTGATATAAATCTACTGTTTTTAATAAAAAAGATATGTAAGAAAGAAAAAATCACCATAAAGATTTTTTTCTTCAGTAGTTTATCATTATACTACTATATATTTGAATAAAAAAAAATAGAATTGAAAAACTAATAATAATTTAATAATTTATATGTGTAATAGTTTAAAAACATAATCGAATCAAAAATAATTTCTGATTATATATAAAATAAAATTGAATATTGCAATACAGTTTAAATTAAATATAATGTACGAAACATATGCTTTATGATTCCTATATGTTCTGTTACAATGATTTATTAGCCCAATTATTTTTTTTTCGTTTGATTCTGCTTCATCTAAGGACCGTAAGAATATTAACTTAAAAATAAAATAATTTTTCCCTGTTTTCTACTTGCTGATAAATTGACAGATAATTAGTGCAGTTATTTAGATATTGCTTTAAAAAATTATAAAAAACGTTTTTCATTAAATCAGCTAAATCTTCTATGCAAGATGATTTAAATTTGATGATTAATATACATGGTTGTAAATTATGATAAAAAACTTACAATCAATATGTGGAAAGTCACTGATAAATTATGAAATCATATAATATTCGATATTAATTATATATATTATTTAAAGTATAATAGTAATCTTGTTTTAGAGTGCTCCATATTGCATGTGGAAAGAATCCAGCAAAAAACTTACTGGAAATGCTCAATTTGAAGGTTATAGCGTAGATCTTATACAAGAAATATCACGTATATTAAGATTTAATTACACCATTCAATTAGTACCAGATATTCGCTATGGCTCGTTTAATAGAGAAACGAAAGAATGGGATGGCATGATTAAAGAACTTCTTGATCAAAAAGCCGATTTAGCAATAGCAGATCTTACAATAACTTATGATCGTGAACAAGCTGTAGATTTTACAATGCCATTTATGAATTTAGGTAAGATTTCTATTTTGTTTTCGAAAATTACGTTTGTACATAATGTACCAAATAATTTAAATACGTAAATTTTAACATTTTATAGAATGAAGAATTTTAATTTCATATTTTATATTTTATATTTATAATTCGATATTTTACACTAAAATGTTAATATACTTATTGATTTGAAAATAATTCTAAAAAATAATAGAACATATGAAATGAAAGTAAACTGTCATAAAATAATAATTCAATTGTTAATTTGTATTTAATTAAAAAGGTAATTAAAAGTGTCTGTTTAGAATTAACTAAGAAAAACCACTAGGTTGTGTGGGAGAATGCGTGGACAAGTGGAAGGGTTAATTCACTGATGCAATAATTAACACATATATATTTTGTTGCTGTTTATTCCATTTCCTTTCCAATTTAGGAATTATTATTCTTGAAGAGATTATAAATGAACCTTTATTAATCTTAATAATGAATGTGGCGTTGAGGTGCACTTCTATTGGAGAACCAGAAGGTTGTGAAGTTTCTGATCCTCTGGACGTAATGGCCTAGATAGTGATTTACTATGAAAAAGGATAGATTATAAAACTATCGTCACTTCTTGAATATTGCCTATTGAGAATTATGACTGTTTCGTGCTCTGAAACGAACACTACAGTTCTTGTCTACGTCATGATTCTGGCACGTGTTGCAGTTGCCTCTAAATATTGAGCCGTGTGGATGAGCACGAGCCTGAGATAGAGGTTAGAGGAAATGTGTGCACTGATCGGCGCTAATTGCTGGTCTTGCGAAGTGAGCATGCGCGGGAAACTTCTGAACACTAATTGCTTTCGGTCCGTCTATGAGTAGGCCGTGAAGCGAAGAATCAAACACTAATATACGACTTACTTGGAAGTTGTAGTGTGATATTCTTTGTTTCTCCTCACAGGCATGAATGGGAAGCTTCCTTGCACGAGCTGCTTGCACTTCTGTAGATGAACTTTTCTTTGTCTCTCTTACTGAGATGACAGGAATCTCGCTCCTTGGGCTATAACTGCTTGACGAGATTAAACGTAACTGGATAATGAATCACAGAATTTGAAAGCTATTTTACAAGACTCAGCTGATCGACTTTTCTCTGTTCCTCCTTCTTGAGAATAAGTCGTAACTCTTCATGAGAATAAGAATGAATGGTGAGAGAGCCCTGGTACATTGTAATTGTCCTTCTTAAATAGTTCACTGACCCAGTTCCACAAGGGCCCCCTTCTTCTTTCTTGTGTCCAATCAGAGCGCGACTTTAGGTAGCATGATTGATCATGCACGCTTTCATTTCCACATCCTTCCGGGTTTAGTCTTGAACATGCTAAATCGGGAAGTGTCTGAAGGTGGGGATCGTCTACTATTGGTCGTCTCTCCCTTCTCTGGGACTTAGCGATATGAGAGGTCCTCTAGAGGCAATACAATGGTCGATTGGCTAACGCGACCGATAAGATTCGCCGTAGTTGAGAATAATGTAAGCATTATCTTAAGATACCGAATGCGCACGTACGCCGATTGCTTGTTGTCGCACGTGCGAGGTTTTGGATTGCAGTGAAATTCAGGCAATGTTTTGTATTCGATAGTTAACGTACATCTGACACTCATTTCAGAATCTCCGCTTTCTTGGCAGTAAACAACAAGATCGTTTAACCGCACCGGAAAATCATGAGCACGTTTTGATATGCGAGAATAAATAAAATAACTATCCACGAGTGATTTCCAGATGTACTGACCTTTTCGAGTATCCGACGACCGTGGTTATTTTGTGGTAAGAAAAATTTTCTCTTAATCTCGAGCAGTGTCTCGTTAAAAAAATAAACAAATGCACATGTAGTTGTAAATAATTTGAAAATATAATATTAAATGATACGAACTTTGATTTTCTTATAAAAACTAACAGCTTAAATTAAAACTGATTATATATTAAAGCTTATACTATAAATATATATAACGTACAATAAGTAAATGAGGCTGACAAATGTACTTCAAATATACATTCTAAGATTATATTTCAAGACTTCTAAGATAATTTTGAAATGATTATATGATAATTAATAATCTTACTCTGAAAAATGCTGCAGTGCTTCCACCTTTTAAAGCACCATATTTAATTTTAGTTTGCTTTGCTAAATCTTCTGCGCTTTCAATTGGTGAATCCATCCGTTCCACTGTTAAAAAAGCTGCTAAATTTGCAGTATACGATGAAATCATAATTAACGTAAAAAACCACCACATACCAGCAACCATACGTGTAGAGATTGCTCTAGAAATTGACATAAAATATATTAATAACTAAACTATTGATAATAATAAATTAATTTTCCCATACATCAAATACTAAATTTTTAATATACAATAAAAGCTTATATATAAAAGTTAATAGACTTATATTATTAAAAATTGATAGAATAATATATATACTATTTAATTTTTTAATAAAAATGACAGGCTATATCTAATTTCGAGAACTAGAACGGAAATAAGAGATTAAAATTATGCAGGTACTAGATTAAAAATAATAATTAAGAAATATTTGTATGATAAAAGTAAATATTTTGAGAAAATTAAAATAAACTGCTTAACTTATTCAAATTAATGTACTGGTTATAGAAAAATATAATACACTTTTTCAGGAAATGCAAAAGAATACATTTATTTTCTTGTACAATAATGTAATAAGAATTTCAAGTCTTAACAAAATATATTACAATGAAAAAAATTGTAGGATGATGTTTAAAAAAGAACTATGAAACATCGAATGTTGATGTTAGTGCATAAATTATTTTTTATTAATGTTTAATAAGTATTTATAATATAATATTTAAATTGATGAATTATCTATGGACTTATATACCTAAGTTACTAAATTACAAATACCTGAATAAAGACCTTCAATACGATTCTAACAATTTGAATTTCAATTCAAACTATTTTTTAATACAAATACTACTATATGTCTTCCTGCGAGTATGGGATATATTAGCACATGCTTCTTAATAAAAGAATTACAAATATTAAGGAGTACTTCATATTTTACAATTTAATAAATTAACAAAAAGCATCAATTGATTTAATATTATTTTAAGTTATAATCATAATATTTTAAATGCTTCTTATCAGTTTATTAATTTATTTTTAAATGTTACGTGCAGGATATGCTATTTAAATTTTTTAAATTTTTCAATAAATCCAGTAAAATATATTACACTATATCATTTTTTATTCCACATTAATATTTTTGTATTAAATGTTATACGAATAAAGGATAAAAGAAATTTTATTTACATTCTCTAAAACTTCATAGCTAATTGTTTTTGTGAAATATACTACGAATAGCGATATAAAACTTTATAACTAATGGTTCAATAGATTTTTGAAAGATAATTATAGTAAAGATTTTTAAAAAAAGTTTAAATTCTTCAATGAAATAACATCAGATGGACGCGAATAGAGTAAAACTTATACCTCGATTTTATATATGGTATAAATAAAAAATGAGATCGCCGTTGTAAAATAAGTTTCTAAATACAGCATTAAGAGAGATAAAAATTTCAGATATCTTATCAGAAATTTTATCGTCAAATTATTAATATAAAACCAATTTAAAAAATCATTATTAAAAGAAAAGATCATTGACATTTTTACATAAATACATAAAAGTAGCATTTCAAAAACAATAGAATATATAATAGAATAAATCGAAAATGATTTAAGGCGTTCAATGATCTTCTAATAGTAGTAAAAAATATAAATACTATTTATCAATTACTAAACTATATATTATTTATAAAATTTATTATTCAATGTAAAAATATTTATGGTAAGCATATGGTATTAGCAATAATAATATATGATCATGTGGTTAAATAATCTGGAAAATGAATGTGAATGTGCATAAAAATTGCTATTATAAATGAGAATTAATTATAAAAATGAATTCAAAGTAGATAAAATTCTCTTAGAATAATTAGTACATTGAGTATTCCCCGAAAATATAAGGAATTTTATAATAAAAGTACTTGTTCAAATATTTAATCTGGTCCCGTTATTTGTAATTATAATGTTGAATAACAGCATTTATATATGTAAAAGTACGAATAGTGATGAAAAAAGCACTACATATAAACAAAATAGAATATAAGCAAAGAAAATGCCAACATGAAGGTTCAAATATCGAAAAATTTATGATTTACATGGAATCAATAAAAATGATTATGTCTTTAATGAATATGTCTTTACTAACAGTCTATACTAAATGTACTTAGTATAGGAAAATGAGCAATCATCTACAAAATTACTATGTTCGAATAAACCAAAAATTAGATGAACTTTAAATAATTATAGAGATATGTTGCCTACATCTAGTAATTTTGCTATACATTGACATCGCAAGTTATTTGTGCTTGCCTCGTCATTTATCATTGCATTTTATCTTATTTGCATCTGACAATACGACTAAAACAAATCTGAAAAAGCTTTTTTTCATACACATATACGTACATATTATATAACATATACTTTCTCACAGCCACTAGGCTTGTAGATAGTCTCATAATATAAAACTTGTCCTTTCACAATAAAAAATATAAAACTCTACTTCTATTTAATTATATACATATACTGTAGAAGGTAGATAGGGATAATAGAAATATCATTAAATATAGATATTGATATTTGCTTACTAAATCAATAAATATAATGGTAGTCTATATAAGATAAAGAAATATATTGTCATATAATTAATTAAATATACTAACCTAGGTGCAATATCTGACCCTTGTTGCATTAGGGAGCCAATTGTAAACCATAATGAATTTAAAAGCGTATATTCATTTTCCAATAATATTGTCTGATTATTGGAAGTATGAGAATTTTCCCATTCATATGGACTAAATCTAAGAAATAAGATATTATTATAATGTAAATTAAATTCGTCAAAAATAATTTTTATAATATAAATAGATGGTAGAAGATATCCTAACCTTAAAAAATGTAAAAGATTCAATTTATTAAATTATGTATAAACTTTAGAATTATTGAATAAAAACGTTGTATTTGTTAAAGTTTTCACTGTGCCGGTTGTTTATTTTACTTTCGTAATATGTTTTATTTAAAGTTCTTATAATTATGTAACTAATATAATAAATACAGATATCTTAACATATTGCAAAACTATTAATTACTAACCTTGCCAAAATGAATAGAAGCACTGAAACTCCTAAATAAGCTGTCGCCATATAGATCCATACATCCAAACTTAATGGACTTAGAAAAGAAAACAAATTGGGTGGTTGCTTCACAGGTTTTCTATAAAGTATGCTTATACCTAAGAATTAGTTATAAAAAAAATTAATATATGTAATTTATTAAAATTATAGGTATCAAACATTTTTTAAAGATGAATAAATAAGAACAAAATGATCTATTTTTTATTTAATTTTAGTTTCTTTCTATTGAAACATTCTAAACTAAACTTAAACAAACTTATTATTTTCCTTACATATAAACAAAATTCTTGTGATATAGAAGATTATATATTATTATGAATAGAAAGTATTTTATAATGTTTTATTTTAAAATCAAAATATACGTATTATGAATTAATAAAGAATATTTAATAATTTATTTATGTAATAAATTGTTTTTGTTATTTTCAATAAGTATATTTTATGATACGTTAATGGATTCACTTTAAGTTCTTATACACTCATATGAACTTATACGATTAATATTATAAGGTATCTCGATTTAAGATCAAAAGTTAATTCTTCAATAGTCTTACACAGTTAAGTATATTTAGATTTTACATTTTTTCATAATTCTCAGACTCTTGCTACTGTTGATAAAATTTACCTAATTTTTATAAAGAATTTCTACTTTTGAAAGTAACTTTTCATAAATAAGTCTAATTATGTTAATTTCTAAAAATTACTGTACAAATGTGTCCGATGATCCGGCTTGTTTCAGTTTAACCATGGTGTGGTTATCCGGGTCGAAGGACCAAATTGTTTAGAATTAACTAAAAGACTACGAGATGTTATCAATGAAAAAATGTGTGGGCAAGTGGAAGGAATAGCGTATTGATTAACTATTTAACACATCTATTTTTTAGTGCTGTTTATTCCATCTATTTTTCAAATACATGGATGATTCCTTTTCATGAAGTCAATAGATGAACTCGTGTTGCTCTGTGGCGGTTAGCACGTGGCGCTAATGTGCACTTCGGTTGGAGGTAAGAGGTTGTGAGGTTCCTAATCTTCATGACGTGGTGCCCCTTGATGGTAGGTTACCATGAGAAAGGAGAAGTTGTAATCTTATACCACTTCTTCGAGTAGTGCCACGTGATGAAGCTGCTACTGTGAGCTACTGCTAAGTGTGAATCGTGCGCTTTGGCACGAGTTGCAAATTTCTCTAAATAAGTGAGTCGTGTTCCTGGGCACGAGCCTTAAAATAGAGGAAGGAATCGACACGGTATTCCACTGAATGGTCCGAAGTAGGCTTCATGCATGTTGAGTATGAGCGAAAATCTCCTTGGGCACAGACTGGCTACTAGAGAGACCTTGTAGGCGAAAAATTGAGAAGATTACTAACGAAACTTCACTTCAGACTCAGCTGATACGAGCTTTCTTTCCCTTTCTTCTTGAGGACTTCAACGTGAGTGTTTGAATCTAATGGTTGTCCTTCTTAAATAGTTCACTGACCGTTGTGTCTACTTGGGATTCCTTCCCTTTTCTTGTATCTTCAGTCAAGAATCTCATTCTTTTCGTGGCTCTCAAGTCAAGAAGGGCTCCTGATACCATTGCCATCGATGACTCTGGCGGCTACATGGCAGACTTAAAAAAGGGGGAGGAGCAAATACATGCCGAGAGGTCTCAAAGTTTGGGTGAAGCGACCGCCTCAGGAAATGCCTTACGTCTGGCTTTTGACAGATGTTTTATAACTTGTTTTGCCAAATGTTTTATGGCACTGGAAAAAGTTCTCACAATCTCGAACAATTACTATGGAAGAAAAAATAGGATAGGAAAAATAAATTATAATTTATCGTATTTTACTAGAAATTAATCAGTTGTCGTAAATAACATTTTAATTTGTATCTCTCTTTCAATTAATTTCAAAGAGTAACGCTTAATCCAAGTAGAAAGATGTATATAATGTAACAAAATAAGAAATATTACATGAATGATTATATATATATATATATATATATATATATCATAAAGAGGTAAATGACTCTGTATGAAACGGGTTGACTTCTTGAATCGTACTGCTTTGATAGCTTTAATTTACCGTCCGCCCAGCGGATGCTTGGGAATGAGTTAAGTGGAAGGGCTGTAGAAATACAGTATACGTTTACTTCAAAATATGGTTGCAGTTACACTATTGTTTGGTTGGATTTATATATTATGGAAAGGAATACACTATATTTAATCACGTCCTTGCACTTGCCTATAAATGATCTGGCGTTGAATAAGTTGTCTCCTCGAGATGCTCCTTGAGATGTCGATGTTGTTCTCCTGTATAGGATGTGTGGCCTCAATACAATGAAAGTGGCTTCTGCTAATGTTGCCATGATTAGGAATAATATTCTCACACTCCTGGGTAGGACGTGTGGCCTTGAAAGTGTAAGGAAATACCTTGAGAGTATGCTTGTTGTAGCAATGTAGTTTCTCGTAATGCAGTCAGCACCCTTGAATGCTTGTAAAAAAGGCACATTTCGCAATTAAAATGTATGTCCACTTGGATGTCTTCATTGCGTGAGAACTGGTGTGTTGGAATGACTGGTGTGTGGTAGAAAAAGCTAGCTGAATAACTTAAAGACTCATAACTGTTGACCGGCGGATTCACAATGAACTACTGAGCGTAGCGTGCTGCCCTTAGGTATCCGCGCTACAACTTACTTAGCTGGTAACAAAGTATAGCTGTTGCGGTAACGGAATCCTACATAAGGTGCAGAAGAAAATATTCAAGAATTCTGTGAGAAAACAAGGCGTAAGAAATTTGGAGAATTCCAAGCGACGCTATCGCGCGAAGACCATAGAAAACATTGCAGGGCATTTGAAACCAAAGCATAACAAATACTCGTTAATTCTCGTACCCAAATGTTTACAGAAACTTGAGAACTAGAGGAACTAGCGATCCCGAGACCCAGCGGTCTTGAAAATGACTTCAATCTCGAAGAATATCAGTTATAAAATAATTAAAGATACAAAGTACGAGTTTTACATAAGCATTATTCTTAAAAAATTTCTATAGGCAATATTCAAATATATATAAGTAATGTATATATTTTATTTATATTTACAAATTATATCAAGCTAGATATTATCTTAAAAATCAAATTAATTAAAGCATTTTGTTTTTCTTTTGTTGTATCTCAAGTAACTTAATAATAAAGAAATAAATAAATTTGACTATGTAAAATAATTCCTCTTTACTAATAAATATCTGGATATAATTTAATTATACTAATGTTAAGTTTTATTTCTCTTATAATATAAATTTATTCTTTATTATGCAGATTATTATTAGTATATACAAATATTTTATGTATAAATGTTTCTTGTATATATTTATATTATTTGTTAATAATTCTAAAGCATAAGGTGGAAATATCTAATGCTGTTTTACTTGATAACTTTGCAATTGTATTTGTTTTCTTACATGTATATACTAAACAGTGGTAATTGATGAATATAATGAACCAACGCGATATTTCATTTTAAATTAAAGGATAAAATGATATTCTCGTCATTTGATAGAAATTTATTTCTTTTCATATGTATTTCTTTTATCGGTTAATGCTGTTATAGTAGATTACAAAACAAAAAACAAGAAATCAATAAAACGCTGAAAATGTAATGATTCAATAAATATTTTAATAATATTATTAGAATGATTCTTTAATTTTTTCTTGACTTTTTAATTTTTTTCATATAATAAAATGTCTACATATAGGTATTAAAATAATTTATCAGTATTCAATAGTTTTATTATTTCAATCCGTTTAATTATTTTTTTCATAATGAAAAAGACACAATGACCAGTTGTTCGAGATTAAGAGAAAATTTTTCTTACCACAAAATAACCACGG